ATATGCCGGTAATTGGGCATCCTTGAAAGGCTTGGGAATGACACTAATGAATGCCTTATTTTCCTAAAACCACACCCCCCTCCCCAAATAATTAAAGTACAGGGCCTAGGGGTATCAGAATTCCGGGAAAGTTTTAAAGTCAGTATTAGGAAGTACCATCCGGTCCAGGGGCCTTGTCAGGGATTTCGCATTCCCAACCTCTTCACAGGATATAGGTTGGTTCATTTGCTCCCTATGTGCCTCCTGGAGGGGGGAAAAGGAGATAGCACTCCAAAAAAGCCTCCAGAGAGGAAGAAGAACAGCCCCCCGTGGGCGAACTATAAAGCTGAGAGTAACAAGACTGAAATTTGTGGAGGATCTTACCCGGGTCCTTGGGATAACGAACCATTGTCCCAGTCTGAGCTTGGGGAGGGCCGTTGGGAGTGTCTAGGAGTCAGCTTGCGTTGCCAACAACCAGGTCTGTCCCTCCACGTAAAGAAATTTATGATTAGACCAAACGAAGTTTTTTATCCGCAGTGGTATATAAGACATAAATAAAGTTCCAGTCGGGCTGGTCAAGTTTTAAGTAACAAATCAGAACTGGGATGATGTTTATGTTGAACAACCAGGTCAAGCGCATAGAACTGAGTTTTAGTAGCAAGTAGGTCTTCGGGCCTTTTTTAAACGAGAAGAGAGTTGAATAATATAGCCCCTGACTGAGGCCTATGGAGCTGCCCAATTAATCCCGGGGTTTCGTGTCCTCTGCTTTATTAAAATCAAAAAACATTTGTAGGTGCGATGAAATTTCCCGACAATGAGATGGATTACCCAAAATAGAGTCATTAAGACGCCAATGAAAAGCTGGTCTTACCAAGAGTCTCGGACTGAAAAGGTGATAGAAACTGGGTCGTGGTCAGAACAGGGCGTGGAAAAGATTTTAGCAGTGACAAGTTTGGGAGTTTATGTATGAAGAAAAATATGGTCAATAGGCGAGAATAACTATCATGATTCCCTGGAGTAGTGGAGTAGTCTCGGGAAGTAGGATTAGCCTCCCTCCATGCATCAATAAGATCATAGCGATATAAAAGTTGAGCCCTTTACGGCTCCGTCTAGAAGGAGGTGAAGCGTTGGCGGTTTTATGGGAACGATCCAGAGTCATGATCCAATGCTAAATTAGAGTCAACCAGCGGAATAACCGTCACCCTCAAATTCTCCTACCAGAGTACTTAGCAAAGATTGGAAAAATTCACAACCTGATTGGTATTGGGGGTATAAAAATTATAAAAGTGATAAGAGTCGCCTCCCAAGTGGCCTTTCACCAAAAGATATCTCCCCTCCTTGTCCCGGCATAATTTTAGAGTCAACAAAGGACACTCGACGAGAAAAGCCAAAGGCCACCCCCCGCTTTTTCTCTGTGGCATTAGCAAAAAAGCAGAGAGGGTAATTTTTATGAAATATAACCGTGGAGAGAAGGAGGGTGGAAAATGAGTCCTGTAAGGCAACTATATCCGCCCCAAGGGAGTGAGTATGAGCTGAAAGCCTGTATACGTTTGGATGGGGAAAATTGAACCCCTGAACATTATGAGAAAGGAAGCGAATTCTCCGCTAGTGGACCGTAACGGAAGGACATGACAATAATTATGGAACTAAGCAGAATAAAGACCCCTCGTTCACTAAAAAGTAAGAAGATCCCTAATAAGTCCCTAAATGTCGCAAAGCTGACCCCCCCCAAAAAATCAGAAAACAACAAAAAGAAAAAAGACAGAAAAAAACAGAAAAAAGAAAAGAGAACATTCGGATCACAAAATGTCCAAATGCCAAGTGACCGCGGTACACAAAACAGTATCAGAAAATGAAGGCAACAATGTACCAGGAAGGAAATACAGAGCAATAGCCCCTGCGGTGGAATAGGTCTGCCCAGAGAAACATTCCCGGGGAAGAGTCTTCCAATCAGGGAGAGCGCAAAGACACTCTCCGGCACTAACAGCAGTTTACAACCCAATAACAATAAAATCAAACGCACAGTGCATTAAACAAAAAAACAAAGCAATTAGAGCCACTGAAATGAATATTCAGCAAACAAATGTAATTAACATCCTAAGTCCCACCCCCAGCCCATCCCCCCAAACCAATATAACAACAGCGGCCAATGCTCCGAAGAGCCACAGAAAGGCCGCCATCAACGAACATATTCAGCGAAAAGTCCCCAAAAGAACACAAAAGTTCAAGAAGTCCACCCGGGCGGATTCCGGGACCCCCTTCTTCTTAGACGAATGGAGTAGTCCACAAAGGCTGGAGCGGCGGAGGTCGAGAAGCCGATCCCGTGGGGAGAATGGGACGTCGGACTGCGAGATATAATACCCTGCTGAAGCAGCAACTCCTCGCCATCCTGAATGTAGTAAACCCATAGGACTTTCCATTAAGAGTGAACTGCAGACGAAAAGGGTAGGCCCAACGATATTTAATGCCCTTTTGAACCAAGTGAGAAAGAAAAGTGGCTTGAGGGAGCGCCGCCTCTGGATAGTGGCCGACGAAACATCAGCAAAGATTTGTACCTTGTGCCCTGCAAGCTCTATATCCGGATTCTCCCTGCCAAACCGCATAACCGCTTCCTTAACCTGAAAAAAATGAGGCTTGACGATGATATCTCTCTAGGAGGCCCCCCTTGCCGGGGGGGGATCAATGCCCGGTGAATGCGATCAATCTCAAGATGAAGATCATCAATTGCAGGCATAGCGGACCGCATGAGGGTATGTGCGCAGCTAGTAAGCTCCTTAACCGACTCAGGAAGACCTCGAATGCGAAAATTGTATCGCCTAGCCCGATTCTCCAGGTCATCAATTTTAGAATAGCCTCCTCCAGTCCGATCTTGCAAGTCGGTGATCATGTTAGAATTTTGGGAGATACTTTGGACTGTCGCATCAACTTTAGCCTCAATACAGTCTAAACGGTGGCCCAAGGCCTGAAAATCCTGCTTTAAATCCGCCGCCAATTTTGAGGTAGCTCTGTCTAATTCGCGGTTGCAGCAAATCTGCGAATCCGAGCTATCAAAAGTCGCATCACAAGATTATAGAGGCGGGTCAGGAGGAATCGTTGGCGAGGAAGCCGGGCTGTCATCAGCGGGATCTGGACCGCTAAATGCTGGCTTGAAAAATGGCAGCTATGTCGCTGCTCAAGGGCGAGGATGCAGGGGAGTCACGGCTCAATGGACACGAAGCCTGGGACTCTAGTGGCACAGGGCTGGAGGATGACTGGGGGGGCTGCAGGAAGTCACTCACCCCACCTAGCGATGCTGCTGTAGTCCTCCTGGCCCAGCGTGGGACGAGGAGCCCATCTTCTCTCTCCGAGGGAGAGGTGCTGCTGTAGGAGAGGCAGAGGAGACCCCATGAGCCGCGGGCGCCGATCCGGCCGCCATCTTGGTCCTCCCAGTCCCCGCAGGGAGCCGCAGCTGGGAGCCTCCACGGCTCTTAATCGCCGACTTGCCGGGCATATTGACAGGTGCCCGAGATCCGGAGATAGGCAGGGGGGGGCCCCGGGGGTGAAGCGGCACTATGCCCTTTTATGGGCTGCTGTCAGTGCCGGAGATGTGCGGAGCTAATGCCGGGACATCCGATCCCGGCGGCCGCGCATGCGCACTTCCACTTTTTTATTTATTTAATTTATTTCACCTCCCACGTTTTGTCACTTTTTCTTTACTTATGTGTGTGTTTTCTCACAGGATGGAGGGTGTGGGTCCTCGGGCCTGCCCTGAAGTCTAAGGGGGAGGATGTGTGGCCTTTTGGTTCCTTCCTCCCCTGTCTCTAGGGGGTTTTTCTCTCCGGGAGAGCCCCTTGGCCAAGTACTGAGTGGCTGGCTTCGGCTGGCCACAAGGAACGGTGGTCCACCAGGCCTTTTGGCCAGGAGGACCAAATGGGAACCTTGTCCCTGTCAGGAGCTCCGTGCCCCGAGGGATCAGCGTAGTGGTCCATCCGCTTCGGGGGGAAGGACAAAGCACACCCCTAAGTGCACTTTTTTCATGTGGTGTTTTACACTTGCACTTTTTTTGTGATTCACTTACAGGTTTTTTCGTTATCTGCACGTTTGCGGACTTAAAAAAAAAAAATGGCCTCCTATGAGCAAGAGTTCTTACACAGGATCTTCGCTGTTTGCAGGGAAGTGCAAAGTTACCACCTGTCAGCACAGTAAGCAGAGATGTTTGTGTGAAGAGCAGACAGTGCCCATTCCGACGCAGAGAAGCTGATGTGATCCCTATGTGTACTGAACTGATATACTGAGTCCCCAGCAGTAAACCAGCAATCTGTCTCTGGAGTAAAACGGCAGTCCCCATGTTCAGCTCAGAATCCCACGCCAAGAAAGCAAGCCAGTTCCTTGCTGTAGAACGGTGGTTCTCAACCTTCCTAATGCCATGACCCTTTAATACAGTTCCTCATGTTGTGGTGACCCCCAACCATAAAATTATTTACCCAGTAATTATAATTCATGAGTGTCATTTTACCTCCAATACTGCTGCTTTCAACACAGTAGCTGCTTTTAACAGAGTAGCTGCTTTCAACACAGCAGCTGCTTTCTACACAGTAGCTGCTCTTTACACATCCTAAATATGTGTTTTCTGATGGTCTTAGGGGACCCCTGTGAAAGGGTCGTTCGACCCCCAAAGGGGTCGCGACCCACAGGTTGAGAACCACTGCTGTAGAATATATCTGCTCTCCCAGCATCCCTCTCCTTCAGCTCTCTAGTATTTGTAGTGCACTCAAGACTACAGTATGTATCGGCTATAAGGGTCCCAGGATCCTTTGCTGTCAGAACTGGATCCGCTATATGAACTGGAAGAGATGTAGCAGTCCTAGTACTGGGCACTAGGGGGAAAAGTATTAATCATAGTCTCCTCTGTAAATGTCCCTGAAAGGCATAATGATATAGCTAGCACCTGGCTACACCCTAAACAAAGGACCGTAGTAGAATAATATTTTGTAGCCTCTAATACATAATCCATCTTTTTGCCTTTTTTCCTTGTTTTGCAGTTGTTTCATCGGCAGCCGCTGTGACTCTCTGCTCCTATCTTTATGTTTTGCTCCGCGATGAAGTCCACTTCCAGGTCATGAAGCCCCCAGAAAACTACATAAAGTTGGGAGAAAGTTACTATTTTGCCATCTCTACCTTCCTGGCTGCTGTTTGCGCAGCTCTTCTTAGTTGTTGTGCAAGGAAGTACAGAAGAGGCTATGACACGGAAAACCCTGTCTCAGGCACTGAAGTTACCACTCCTCTACTGCAGGACTGTGAGAGCCCGGATACCCCAGGGGAGTATGGGTAATACGTAGGACCATGCAACATGGGCAGCCTAAGGTTCCCAAGTTGGGGAAATGGAAGCTAGCAGGACTTGTCAGGATTTGCAGCTACTCGGCCAATGGCTGACTTCTACTGTGCAATCTAGCATAGGACCAAATATTTGCTTTGAAGGAAACCTTTTCATGGGCAAATGAAGTATAAGATTCCCACTCACTATAAAAGGGACTCCTCCATGCCATAAGGCCTGGTTCACACGTATGCATGTTGCAATCTGCTGCGGGGGAAAAAAAGTCCCTGACCCTATCTAAAAACACAGCAGTTGAAAACACACAGATGTGAACGAGCCCCATAGGAAATCATGTTAAATGGACTGTAGTGAGTTTGTGCAAAACGCAAACAGCACTATAAAACACATAAATGTGAACCAGGCCTGAGTTATCGATCATTTTCCTGTCCACTAGTGTAAAGAGTAAACTCCATTTTCATTGTGAAAAAAAAACAATCCCTTCTGGGTGATCTATGTACATTTCAGGGAATTTACCAAACGTAGAAGATGCCTACCTGATTCTGCTCTGAAAAAAAGGCTCCTTGTTTGTCAATGGCTTGTGTTACACAGGCTTCAGCTTTTGTAAGAGCAGCTTTGTTGAAGCTTTTAAAGTACCATTCAGCTCCAATTTGTAAATGTTGAACACAGATCCTAATGGGAGTGCTGTTTGCCACTTTAAGCAAGCTGCTAGCAGGCTTCAGCAGGTTATCAACAAGCTTTAAAGCAGAGTTCCACCTGAAGAAAAAAAAAAAAAATGAAGTCAGCAGCTACAAAAACTGTAGCTGCTGACTTTTAAAGTACAGATACTTACCTGTCCCTCGGTCCAGCGGTGTCCTCGCCACCGCTGGTTTCACCGACAGTCTTCTCTCCCTGGCGCCGGCATCTTCAGTGTGGGCACCCGGTTGTGATTGCTTGCGGTTTCACAGCCAGATGCCCACTGCAAATGCACGAGAAGCGCTGAGCTTTCTGAATGGCCCCGTAGTCTTCTGGTACCTGTCATGTCCTAGAAGAAGACTACAGGGAGGGAGGGGGGAGAGGAAAATTTCTGCTTTCGATCGCCTAGGCGACCGCAGCGGAAGTGGGAGCGGGTACCTGTCAAATTTTGGGTACCCGCTCCCCGAAGGTGCCAACCCTTAATGGGGAGCGGGGGACAATGGCTTAAAGCGGAAATTCCCCTTTTGGGTGGAGCTCCGCTTTAAGAAGCGTTAAAGCCAGCGTGTTTCAAGTGGCAATCAGCACTCCCATTAGGATCTGTGTTGAACATTTATAAACTGGAGCTGAATGGTACTCTAAAAACTTCATCAAAGCTTACTGTTCACACTGCTCTTATTCAAGCTGGAGCCCCAGTGAACCAAGCCTATACCTTTTTGGATTCTGAATATGAGTATGCAGAGGATGCCTAAAATCTGACGTGCATCTTTGTGCAGACTTCTGGGAAAATCAACCAATCACACGAGCAGGAAATTACATTTCTGGAGGTGTTCCATACACCATCTGTGTACAGAACACCTCCAGGTTACCATATTGCATTGAATTTGACAGTTACAGCGCTGCAGATAGAAAAGGAAAGGTCATTTTTTTAAATAAATTACAGTATGTCTTGTGTTTCAATTGTATATGTTGTTGTTTTTTTAATTTTACTATACGTTTTTTCCCACAAATGTAGAGTTAACCTTTAATTAGTGCCATAACCATTTGTGTCCCTGGCCTTTTTTTCCCCTAGAACTTCCTTGAGTCTGGGAGCATTTTATTTTTATTTTTTTTTGTGGGGGGGGGGGGGTACGCAGATGTTTTTATTTTTTAGGTTTTACTTAAGATGAGAAATTTAAAAAAAAAAATTTTTTGTAATTTCCGATGCAACTTACATAATTAGTGCAGCCCCAGATATTTGCCCCAAAGTAGAATTGTCATGGTCCGCTGATGTAGCCTCCCTAGCGGTCTGATTATGTCCATATTTCTGTGCTCAAAGCGGTACTTTTTTTGCATGGAAATATGTATTTTTTTTTTTTCATAGTAGGCCTGTAATTTTTTTACAAATAACTCACTGAAATCTGTCTGAACAAGAGTCTAGTAAACATCCCGGGTATGATAAAATTGAAACACGAAATCATAAATTCTAATTTAATAAATAATCATAAAAAATAATACATTTATTTCAATAATATAATCAAACCAAAAACACTGAAATTTGAAATATAGCGCCAAGTTCGCACCTCACTGAGCAAAGTCGCAAAATCGTTTTCAGTGTCTGATGACGAATTTCCCCCACGAATCATTATCACTCAATTCTGCAAGTGGTTCTGATTTACTATCGCTGTTCTCTAGCCGGTCTAAAACTGCTTTTGACCTAAAGGGACGCTTTTTGGACGCCATGGACATTTCTCAGTTTCCAGGCAAAAAGAACAGTAAAAATGCAGGCAGGGCACAGGACAAAGCACTCGGGACAAAATGTATGTGAAATGGTTTGATACAGGAATGTTTTACTATGTGATTTCAGTGTATTTAGTGAATGTCACTTTTTGACATTTTTAAATTTCCCGCCGTTCTGTCCCCCCGTACGTCCCGACGTCGCAGGGAATGGAACCCGGAAGACACATGCTGGCATCCGCCGGAGGACATTACAGGGGACACCGCAGAGGGGACATCGCGGGAGCGCAGGACAAGGTAAGTACACAAGGGATCCCGGAGCAACGCTGCAGAGTATTCCCGAGTGTAGCTCGGGGTTACCGCTTGTGGTGCTGAAACTTTTTACCCCGAGATACACTCAGCATTACCTCCAGGGAGGTTAAGGATATCAAAAAATTGGGATTTTTATGACACATAAAATTTGTAAAAGTGAAGGTCTGAATTTTACATTAGGACAAAGTTATTCCCCTTTTTTGATGCCACATTGTGAGGCATTCAATCTCCAGTTTGTGTAAATTATGACATGGTCAAGTTGGCTTGACGAGGACACATTAACCATTTGCCGCCCGCCCTATGGCCGAATGGCAGGCGGCAAATGTCATCAGCGTTCCGGGTGAATGCCATATGGCGTCCTCCCGCACATGCGCAGATTGCGCTCCTGCAGAGCGGCGCGATCTGTCACCAGCCGTGTACCTCAGACACGTCTGATGACAGATCTGAGTATCGGCCCCCTGGCCGGTACCATGTGACCTACTGTGACCAATCACAGCAGGTCACATGACAGTTTTATACAATGGATGGCTTCATTCATGCCATCCATTGTATACTACTGCCTAGCTGTGAATAGTCACAGCTAATCACATGCACATGTCATGTGATTAGCTGTGGCCAAATCACAGCTAAGCACAAAAAAAAAACCCTGAATGAATCGATGTCATTCAGGTAAATGCTTGCTTATAGCAAAGTAATTCTTCGCTATAAGCAAATTGTGGAAAAAAAAAAAAAAGAAAAAAAATACTGATCACTTCCCCAAAGTAGTACAATGTTACTATGGTAACATGGTACTATTTTTCATAGTGAAATTTGAAAAAAAAAAATCTTAAAAAAAGAAAAAAAAGTGATTAAAAAAAATATATTTTTTTTTTTTTTCATACTGTCACCAGTCAGTGTCCCTGATCACCGCCATGCCAGTTATATGATGACGCTGTACTGCACTGGTGACAATATGTACAAAAAAAAAAAGTGAAAGTAATTTTTTTAAATTTTTCGAAAAATTCTGACAAAAAAATACAACTTCAAAAAACTCGCCATGCCTCTTATGAAGTACGTCGGACTGTCTACTCTGCAAAAAGGGGTCATTTGGGGGATATCTGTACTGTTCTGACATTCTTGGACCTCAAGAAATTAGATTGGCTGTCAGTACTTCAGGATTGATCAATATTCAGATCTATACCATAGTTTGTGAACTCTATAACTTTCCTACAAACTAAATAATACATCCTAATTTGGGTTATTTTCACCAAAGACATGTAGCAGAATACATCTCGGCCTAAATTTATGAAGAACAATTATTTATTTGCAAACTTTTATAACCGAAACAAAGAAAAACTTTTTTTTTCAAACTTTTTGGTCTTTTTTTGTTAATTTAGCAAAAAATAAAAACCCCAGCAGTGATTAAATACCACCAAAAGAAAGCTCTAGTTGTGTGAAGAAAATGATAAAATTTTAGTTTGGGTACAATGTTGTATGACCGCGCAATTGTCATTCAAAGTGTGAGAGCGCCAAAACCTGAAAACTGGCCTGGGCAGGAAGGTGTAAATTTGCCCGGTATGGAAGTGGTTAAGCATGACGGTTACTTTTTTACAGGTTTGTGATTGCTAAAACTCCAAATGACATTGTGTACACTTACGGGAACTGCAGTAAAACCAAACGGCATTTAGATCAGGAGACCTCATTGTAGAGAGGTTACATCTGTGAAGGGATTTTTATGTAGTATATCATTTAATTTATTTCTCTTTATGGTCTAGATTTGGTCAGTGGAGATCGGATTTAGACCCCCCATGCAGAAACAGATCACTTGTGATCTGCTGCTGGCTGCAATCAACCACATATAGGAGTGATCTGCTGCTGTACGGAGAGGCAGGTAGGGGCTGCTCCAGCTCTGGCCAAGCCTCCATTTGAGGAAGTGCTCTGATGTCACTTGTGATGTCACTGACAGCCAGCAGTTGCAGCCCACATGCTAGCCGGGAACCAACAAAACAGTACTGGGATGAATACCTGCTATTTCTGTGCCATTGTAATAGTCCACTGAGGACTCGAGTGGTTAAAATCCAATGCTTCCAACCAAAGAATGGTCATATTATGGGGAAGGTATTAGGGAAGAGGCAGGACATGTATAACAATAATATACAAATATTGGTATCTGTTTAGGACCTTTGCAGGGACTGTAGATCAGACCAGTATACAAAAGTAGTAAGGGTCTGCTATGGGGTGTCTGATAAGTGTGTAGAATTATTAGAATTATTTTTTTTGTATTTGCTGGTAAACATGTTTTAAATATCAGCACCACCCAA